TTTACAGATCTAGGATAAGAGATCATAAAAAGACCTCAAGGAATCATAAAGTTGCTAACTTTATGAAATCCCAACACTCAAACTTCCTCAAACATGGAGGAAAATGGATAAAAACCTAGATCTAGCATGCTTGAACAAAAAAGGAATGAACTTGAGGACTTACAAGAGTCCTAAAGCAACACAAGATGATGAGGGGGAGATTTGCTAGCTAAAATAATGAACCAAAAACATATTCTTTTTCTTCTTCTTCTTCAAGGGGAGCTAAAATCACCACAAAGAGCTCACAAGGTTAAAATAGAGGCTAAGGTTTCTTGGAGGGTGAAAGGGAGGTGATAGAGGTTGAAGGTATGCAAACCCTATCCCACACTTCTTTTAAATAGGGACACAAACCCCAGAATTAGCGTTAAGACCTTAGGCAGCCGCCACATCATGACCATAAGCTTGCCACGTCGTGGCATACAAGATTGATGCTCATTTTATTCAACCATGGCCACGTCACGGTGTATCTTTCACCATGTCGTGGCCATTAGAAAATCCACATTTTACATCTTTAATTGCCCAAAAACATAAATGAGTCATTTAATTGAAATAGGTGTTACATTACAAGTTTTTTTTTTCTAAGCTATAAAACAACGTAACACATTATAGGAATAGACAGTTTTCTCTGTACCTACACCATTGGGTTTTGTTTTGGTCCATGTCCAAGTTATGGCTTTTACGTCACTTAGTTGGTATGCCACAGTCTTTGTAGATTCGTAGTTTACAGTGTTTTGGTCTTGGTATTATTTATGTGTGGAATTGGTACTGTACAAATTCGATTTTTCGTAAACCATGTACCGTACAAACTATAGTTTGTACAAAAAATTTGCTACTAGTACCATCCCACCGTACCAAGTATATTTGGTACCAATAAATTTGGCTACCAATATATTTGGTTGATACAAATTGTTAATGGTACACATCTTTTAATTTTCTGTTGTAAGATTTAAAAATAAGCAAAAACATCAGATAATTTTGAAGTTTAGTAAAAATATTAGTTACGCAGTTCTTTTAATTTACAAAGAATTTTTTTGAAGTGACGCTAAAGTAAAAGTTTAATTTTCTGTTTTAACGTGGTAATAACTACTCACTAATACAACAAAATGACTTAGATAATTTTCTTAAAACTATAAATATTAACATAATTAACAATCGAAATATACCATTAAGTTTATATATATATATATATATATATATATACACACACACACACACACACACACCCCTAGGTTCAAATGTGAATTTGCATTTATTGTGCGGACGTGTGGATAATGTTATTCTGTGAGAATGACAAAGAAATATGTTGTTTGATAATGTGAATATGTTCAATCTTACATAGCTATTGTCTTATCACACATTCTCACTAATTAAATCATTTATAAGGTTATTATGGACTTTTTTTAATGATTATTCTCATTCCTTCAGAATGATTATTAATTCGTATTCTGAAAGAATAAAAATAAGTGAAAAACAATACGTGCGAACAAAAATGAATAAGAATTAGTGAGAATGCATGAAAATGATAATAGTTATGTAGGGTTGAATGTATTCACATTACTAAACAAACTATTATGTCAGTAATTCTCATAGAATAGTATTATCCACACGTTCACACAATAACTGTGCATCCACATTATAATATATATATATATATATATATATATATATATATATATATATATAATGAATTGATTGGTACGGTATTACCATGACATCGAAACTTTTGTACCATTATCATACCAAGATTGCTCAGTAAGTACGACATTACCAACCAAACACGTCGGCTACAAATTTTATTGGTTAGTTAGTAAATATTGGTTGGTTTTCCATGATAGAAAGCCTTCCCATTGTATTATTGGTGTTTTGTTTCCTTTCTCGTGCTCTTGTCAGCCACCTGCGTGTACTCTTGTCGGTCACAAGCTGGCTTTTTATTTTAACAATATAATCTATCACCCACACCACAAAATGATAGTTACTACCATGTAATGTAAGGTATCATCATTTTTGTAAAACTAGCACTTAAGAAGAACATGGTAGGCAATTTCGGTGTTTAACATTTCAGGATTTAATTTGACCATTTCATAGCACTATAAAAGAATAAAAGATGTCAGAAAGCCGGCTGACCAATTCCTTATCCAAACGAGCATAATGTTGTTCTTAATGTTTTAGACGACAATTCTGATAGATAACTTATTTTACGTTGGATGCAGAGAGAAACATAAGATATATGTATTAAACAATAGGATAAAAAATCATGCAGATTAGCCCTATATATATATGGAACAAAGCAGCTTCGTAAAGCACCAAAAACCATCTGCATTGTCCCTCTTATTCCTTAGCTTTCATTATTATTATTATTATTATTATTATTATTATTATTATTATTATTATTATTATTATTATTTTATCTTTCTTTGCTGTTATTAATTATATTTGAAGAAATGTGGAACAGATTCATTTTATTGAGTGTTGTAGTTTTAACTTTTAGCTACCTTGCCTTAGCCTACAAGCCTAGTCCCCTCCAAGATTTTTGTGTAGCCAATCCCAATAGCTCAGGTATATCTACTTACGTGCTCTTTTATATAAAATCTTACTTGTCTATTAACAAAATATTGCCTTTAATGTGCAGTCAAAGTAAATGGTGTAACATGCAAGAACCTAATGCATGTTCGAGCCGAAGATTTCTTCTTCAGTGGGCTACATCTCAGGGGTAACACATCAAACCAATTGGATCAAAGGTGACCCCAGTATTTGCGGCTCAGTTACCAGGGCTAAACACTTTAGGCATCTCAATGGTTCGAATTGACTATGCACCATGGGGACTTAATCCTCCTCACACTCACCCGAGAGCCACAGAGATTCTTACAGTTCTTGAAGGGACTCTACAAGTTGGATTTGTCACTTCTAATCCGGATAACCGTTTTATCACCAAGGTGTTGCAAAAGGGTGATGTTTTCGTGTTCCCTGTGGGACTTGTTCATTTCCAACGGAATGTGGGTAACGGAAATGTTGTTGTTATTGCTGCATTAAGCAGTCAAAACCCAGGTGCTATAACAATTGCAAATGCTGTTTTTGGAGCAAATCCTTCAATTCCAGCGGATATTCTAGCCAAGGCTTTCGAAGTGGATAAGAGTGTGGTGGATCAGCTACAAGCCAAGTTCTAAAGTTACAAACACTCCAATGATAAAAAGGTTTACAGTTGATGTCCATGTGATAGTTTAATTTCATTCTTAGGCTTCTTTTGAAGGCCTCATTCAAATTTATTTATGTGCAATTGTCTTTTCAAGTTGGTATTTATTCATGGTGTACTTCATATATTCTGTTGGTTTGATATGATAATGGTCATATTTGCAAGTTTTAATTAGTAACAACAAAATATTACATGTAGAGGACGAATTTTACACTCTTAAATCTCACCAGGATGCAAGAAGTTGTATAACCAATAAAATCTAGAACACAAGCGAGTATGATGTATTTACTTTGCTGCATAACTACACATACTTAACAATGTTAAGGCTATCTCCAATGCATTGAATTCTTAGAAATGGATTGTAATATCAACATTCCACTAATTATATCATTTTAACTATTAAACTCTATACTCTACTCAACTCTTAACAATTCAATGGATAATTGAATTGTGGTTATTTATTATAACTATTTTACAAATAATATTAATAAATAAAACTAGAATATTACAATATTTAGAAATTAAAAATTATAAAGACAAAATATTAATTAATGATTACAATTTAGAAATTAAGAGTTACAAATAATACATTAAATTAAAAAAAATATATCTAAAAACACATTTTACTAAATATTATATTTTATTTTAATCTAGTTGCAACGATTTTTTCAAATTTGACGTCCATCTTCTGAAATGGTTATGGGTTCAATGAAAATGATTGAAATCTTTTCACTTCTTACATTTCTTCTTTAATTTTCGTTTTTTCTTTGGGTGCATTCTTCATATCTAAAGATTTTTGGTAGCGTTCAAAACTTTTTTTATTTTCTTCCATATATTTTTCAAGGATTTCATCAAGTGTATTAGCAGATGACGAAGTTGATTTGTTAGCTTTTCTCAAGATTTTTTATATTTGTTTTATTGTTTAGAATAAAAAATATAAATTACGTTAATATATTAAGTTATTAAATATAAAAATGAAATTATAAATATAGTATGAATTAAAAAGATAATAATATATAGTTTGTTAAAGAAAAAAAAAACAAATAAAATGTTTTCTATATAAATGGTTATATTAAATTGAGAAAAAAAACCAAAATCCTATATAACGGTTGTATGGAGATTAAACCTCCATTGAACTCAATTACAATGCAAAGTTTATCCCATTGAACCTTGTATCACCCTATTTTTGTTCATTAAACTTTTCATTGAACTTCCATTGAGGATGATCTTAATTTTTTCAATAAAAGTAACTTTACGACTACCGAAACAACCAAGATTACAAAGCTTTAGGCCACTATACTATTAGGTTAAAGGGTGTGGTGTATTTTTTTGCCAATGTTAAAAGAATGTCATCTAGGTGTCACATTATATTTTACCTTTTTTATAAGTTTTACCTACGAACTAGTGGTGTGGTAAATGGTTTTACCTATGAAGTTTATTTTTATTTATTATTATTTTTTTATATATATTTTTTTCAATTTCAATTTCAAATTTTTAATAAAAACATAGTAAAATTAAAAATTACATTTTAGAAATCCTAAAAATAAAAAATAACATGAAATTAAAAATTACATTAAAAACCGAAAAAAACATGAAGTGAAAAAAATAAAAAAAAACCTAGAAAACAAACATAATATACAAATTTCAATTGCATTTGAGCTTATATTTTTCACGAATCGAAGCCTTCACCAATTTAACTGCCTCTTGATCTTCGCGGTCGAGGTGTCTCACATCTTGCATCAACAACGAATATTCTGTGAGTTGAACTGTTTTAGCCATATGTTTCTCCAAAGTTATATTCAATTGCGCCATTTGACCTCTCTGTTTCGACTAAAGAATTTGACGATGTCGCTTTTCCTTTTCCTTTTCCTTTCCCTTGAGCTTTTGCTTTGTCCTTTCTCAATGGACGAGAATGAGGGTGTATTTCTTCGATGTCGTCATTATCATTGTTAAGATCAACGCCAATGTGACCACTTAATGATATTTTGTTGTGTGCTTGAATATGAAGATGTTCGACTTCTTTTTGGTGGATTAGCAATCTGTTCATGTATTGCAAGGTCCTTCCACCTGATGCTTCTTTTGAAATCTTCTCACACATGAATGAACTTAAAAAGGCTTCAACATGTCATCTTGGAATGTCGTGTGCGTTTTTTTTTCCAACAAACTTACTTCACTTTCACCACTAGACCATTACCTTTTGAAGTTTGTGTAAATTCCATTTCAACGTGTCACGAGTTTGTTAAGAACATTCCATTTTTAGTTACATTGGTTGTACGTCCGATATTCTGGGTCTTGAACCATACCAGTACAAAACCACTCCATAACACGTAACCAAAATTGATCATGCGATTGGCACTTTCCCGTGTTGCTATCTTCTAATATGTCGACCCGTGTTGCAGAATTCAACTCGTCGATTCGCATCAGTGAGTTAAGCCACACTTATCAGATTATGCTTCAAATGAACTACATATGCCACATTTGAAATGGAGAAGTTTCCATTTGTGAGGATGCCATAATATCTTATCTGAGAGTTGGAGTTGTTTTCATTCATCACGTAGCCAACATTTTGTGAAAGTTTAAGATCTTGCAGAAAATCCTTCTGCCCCGTCATGTGCATGGAGCAAGGACTATCAATATATCATATTGTTTCTTGCTCCGATGCATAGAGTGCTTGCAAAATTAGTGAGTTGTGGAGTTTTTAGGCTACGAATTAGGTTTTGGGATAAGGGCATGTGTTTTGGACTTTGTTTGTGACTTTTGAGCAACAATAGTTTTAGAAGGTTTAATCCGCGGTTATTTTGGGAACAAACAGAAAGACATGGTTTTGTCATCTATCCACTAATCATCCTCAATGACATGTGGTTTCGGAACAACTTTTCTCGAACCAGCAACTTCTGAAGCAATGAGAATCATTGTGTCTTTCGGAGTTGCAGTTTCATTTTTGAGATTTTTCACTTTCCATACAAGATTTTGTTTTGAAGATTTTTATGAAATTGTTTTCTTAAAACTCGTTTTTTGTTTGATGACACACTTGGTTTTGAAAGCTGTTTTAAAATCGTACCATCAGATTTGGCTATAAAAACAGATGAAACAATCCGAGGAGAGTTAGTTCTAACAGATTGAGTATCCATAATGGTCTTTTGGAGGTAGGAGTGACCACTTTCTTTTGATCCAACTGACTGGGAGAATTAGATGGCCATTTGAGAATCTTGATGGGTACGAATGTGTTGCGACTCCTAGTTGATGGATTGGCAGTCCGAGATGCACTCTTTTTGGAGTTCTCAAGGCAGGAAAATGTATAAGTATGTGTTTAAGAAAGGATGAGTGAATCCAAGGCAGGTGGCCGTTGGTCAGAGAATTTATTGTGGCCAGGGATTTTTCGGGTTTACAAATTTTGAGTTCGAGGCGGTTGGATCGTTGAGTTCAGGGTACACTAGCTTAGATTTGCGGGTATAGGCATAAATTGTGATCTATACTCCAGGAGGGGCATCAGTTGATTTGTCAACCATTTACAAAGTCGGTATGAGTAGTTACGTATGGGTGGTGATCAATAGAGGATGGAACTTCGAATTTTTGGCATCGTGTTTTCAGTCATTGATGATTCCTCTGTGTTTCAATTCGTGAGATAGGAATATTTTGAGGTTTCGAGTTGCGTAAGTAGAAGATTAGTGGTTGAGGCAAGACATCGTGAGATAATGTGAGGGTGTACCGAGGTACCTGAGTATGATGTCTAATTTTTGGTCATGTTGAGACTCGAGTGTGAGATGACGAGTGGAGTACCGAGAGATTTTGTTCCAGGGGGAAACCATCGGTTAAGTGTTGCCAGAGTGGGACTGTCTAACGGTGTATCTTTACTGAGAAAAGTGTCGTGCCTTTGAGAATTTACATCAGGAAGTGGTGGTGTATAAGCTGGGTGGGTGTAAGCACTTGTCTAGGTTAAGCTGTAGAGCATGATTTGGTGAACTCAGTGTAGTGATGTCTTGATGATGAGATTATGGGGTGATAAGAGAGCGAGTGGATCTGCGTAGGAATAATCGCTTGGGATTATCAAGAGAAACCATGGAGTGAGCCCATGGTGAATCAGTGAATGAGAGAGTGTTGTAAGACTACGGGGAGCCGTAGCATTCATGAGTCAGTGGGAAAGAGTATCATGATACTAAGGGGAGTCATAGTATTCGCTAGTTATCGGGAGAGTGTCGTGATACTGCAGGGAGCCATAATACTCACTGGTTAGTGGGAGAGTGTTATGATACCGTAGGGAGCCATAGTACTCACTGGTTAGTGAGAGGGTATCGTAAGCATATGGGGGGAACCGTATCACTCAGTAGTCGATAAGAGTGAATACTGTTCTGTGGGGAGCTGTAGTATTCACTAGTTAGAGTATGATGAAAAAGAGTTCTTAGGCTTGGGGTCTCCGTGTCGGATGAGGAATGTTGTATCTCGGGTTGAGGAAGGATTACCGCAATCATAAGGAATTGGAGAGATGGTGTGTGCATAAATTCGCAAATCACAAGTAAGGGTTGAGTATCAGATTGGGAATGAGTGGTTCCAATTCTGCTGTGAAATCAGACTCTCGAGTTGAATTTGGGACAATTCATGTATTGAATAGCTGAGATGAGGTTCTGGATTCACATATAGGTTCCATTTTGATGGGTATTGTGTGTCATCTGATGTCTGAGACCTGAGTGGGTCAGTTCGTCTGTATGGGAAGGACCGAGAGACATATGGAACTAATGAGTAGTAGGCGACAGAGGTTGAGGGTGAGATGATTTCAGTTGGGGTTGTAGTATTCGCTTTAGGTAAAGCGAACTTCATGACTAGTGTGTCACACTGGGCCGAGAAATTTAGTGTGAGAAGGAAGTCTGTAAGATGTTTTGGGGTATGCAACGGGTAACCTTTGGAGGTTCAACTGTTGGGTCAGGAGTTGAACTGGTGCTTAGTGTTGAAAGGGATATTGAGAAGGGAGCTCGGGCTTATGATTAATAGATGTCAAAGGATACTTCCGAGCAAGCATGGTCATTTTCATGTGTCTGGGGACAGGGTGTTGGGAGTTCATTGTTCAGTTGGGTTTTGATTGCAGTACAATTGGCGGGTTCCTGGTGATGTGATCCTTTCGTTCATTGGAGTATGATCTGGATCGTCTTGTATGTTTGGTAAGAATGATCGGTAGCCAAATTTTGGGCATTGACTTGTTTTATCAGTCGCAACAAGATAATCAGAGGGGCAGTAAGTTTTCGGGGTCTGTTATTCGAGGAGCAAATAACATGGTGATATCCTGAGAGGGCGGTCTGTCAGTAAGACATGCAACTAGAGTTTCCAAATTTTGGAGAGTTAGAAGGGGTAACGTAGCGGCAGGAGGGTGTATCCTTTTCCGGGTTTGGGAGTTTCTGTTTGGATTCAGGTGCTTTTGGAGGAAGATAGTTGTGTGGTATGAGATCCTTTTGATGGTACCTTTCGGGCTTTTGGGTTCGATCTTTGTGTTGTGGAGGAGTGATTTCGAGGGCGAAATCTAATTCAAGTGGGGGAGAATTGTAACATCTGGATTTTCAGGTATATCATTATAAGAGTAATTTTGAGATTTATGGAGTGACTCGACGAGTTGTGAGTCCAACTCGTCGAGTAGAGTAGAGTTATCCAAGTGGGTTTAATGAACTGACTCGACGAGTCAGCGTTCCGACTCGCCGAGTTGGTGCTGTGCGAGGAAATCCTAAATTCCTAGGTTTGGGGTCTATTTAAAGGGACTTATAACCTCAAATGCGCCTAACCAGCTGCCCAACTCTCATGTGTGAAACCTTCGCTGCCATTGAAGTTAAAAGAGAGTGCTTGAGATAATATCAAGTGTTTTTGGTGAATCTTTTGGAAGGAAAGGAGTGAGAAACACGCAAGGAATGAGAAGAGGCTGTGAGATCTAGCATTTCTTCGCTTAGAGCTTCTGTAGAAGGTATAAATCCTACACCTTTCTCATCTTATTAGTTGGATCTCATGACTATGGAAGTTCAGTCTTTTTCTACCTTTTGTTGGGACAATAAGTGCATGGAGTCTATTAGGAGGAGGCCGAGACTTCTGATCTGGACCTTGTGAGGTCTAGAGAGTCCAAAGATTATAGCTTTATTCAACCATATAAGAGTTATTATGGTTAAACATCCTTGTTAGAGTTATATTGGCAATTAGAGCAACATATGCCATGCATGGACGTAAAGCTGGTGACTTTATGTGATAATCGAGCCCTGAGAATGTAGATCTAAAGTTTGGAAAGTTTTCCTGCCTTGAAATCGTCTGAATAAGAAACAAGTCTGAATGGACCCACCGAGTCGATGACCCTACTCGACAATTCGGTTAGTGTTTGTCCTGATGAGCTTGATCATGCGATAACTCAGCGAGTTGGGGGTCAAATCGACGAGCTAAGTTGAACCTTCACGAGTCTTCTTAGGAAACGAGTTGACTCGATGAGTCACATAGGTGCACTTAGCAAGTCGGGTCAAACATGAACTGTTGACTCGAGTTGACTTCTGTTGACTTTAGGGTTTGATTGAACATTAGTGATGGAGACCATGGAGGGGTAAAATGGTGTTTTACCCACTTCAATAGTTAGAAAGAGGAAGAATAACCTTTGGTTTACTTAGAGTCGAGAATCAAGTATTTATTGAGATAATTACCCTATGTGTTAGGCGGTGGCTAGTTCGAGATTCGAGTGCGAGGATGATTGCTTGCTGTCAAGGTGAGTTTTCTCACTATACTTACCATGAATGGTATCTTTGTGTGACGGAGATGTCTTATGTGATTATATTAAGTACTGAGATATCATGCATTATGTCTACGTGATTTATGTTGTGCATTATTTTGTTCTTACTAAGTTAGGATCCACCCGAGTTATGGGACCGAAGGGTCCCGCTAAGACACATTGACCGGATTGTCTTATTGTGTTATAGCCTCAAGTAGCTAATGAGCTGTGTGTGGTATTTTGGGGAACTCACTAAGCTTCGTGTTTATCATGTTATGTGTTTCAGGTTTTTCTCATGATCGCGGGAAGGCACCGACTTGATTGTACACACCAGTGAAAGAGTTATGCTTTTGAGGATCCTGGATTTTAATCAAACA